GGGGCCCCCCCCCAACGGCGGATAAAACCCAGTCCCGGTGCGCTTTAGAAGCCCCCCCCCCCCCCCCCCTGGTGGCCCGTCAGGCGACCAAGAAGCTCAAGTCGCTCGACCCGAAGCAGCGGCAGGCGGTCGAGGTGCTCACCAAGGGCATCATCAACAAGCTGCTGCACGCGCCGATGACCTACCTCCGCTCGGACGATGCCGACGGGACAAAGGCGACCGTCGACCAGATCAACGCCCTCTTCCAGACGGGCGACCGCGCGGACGACAATCGCCGCGGCGGGCGGCGCTGAGTGTCTGGACTCTCCTCACATCGGCTCTACCCCCTCTTCTCTGCTCGCCGACCCACCGCGCCAATCCAACCCCCTACCCACCCTCCGACACACATGCTCCGACACATGCGATGCCCGACACATGCGCGGTGCGCGTTGTGCGTCAGGGCGACACTCGACTCGAGACACCGACGCCGGCGGGTGCCGAGGCCCTATCTTCTGTGCGAGGGTGTTTGTGTTTTTTGTAAGATGATTCTGCGATTGCGTTGTTGTGAGATGTGAGGAGTGAGCTCCGACAGACGAGAGACGACCAGAGACGCAGACTAGGTCCAGCCCTGGGTGGCGCAGATCTGACGTTTGACAATCGTCAGCTCCGTGTTTTTTTGGTCTTGCGGTACATCTCTCCGCTCGCCACCTCACGCTCCGCCGTCCGGCCATGGATGGTCCGATGGAGCTCGCCGAGCTCCATCGGACCATCCAACTCCGGTCACCGAGTCTGAACGCGCTCAGCCTCAGGAGGTACCAAACAGCGCGAATTCTGCACGCCTCGCTGCACCGCTGGCTTGACTGAATCAGGCAGCAGCAGGCTGCTGCTGCTGCTGCAGCAGCAGTCTGCTGCGGCCCTAATACGCAAGTTGATGACTAGCAGCACTGCCGGGGGCATTCGAGCCGCCACAGCCGGTGTGCGGCTGTGCACTGCCACCTGCCCGCGGCTACGCACAATGTGCGCTCGCATTGGATGAGCCCTGCTGATGGACCTGCATCGCCTAGCTGCACGAGAGCAATGCCGCAGGCAGTGGCCGTGGCATACACTGCGAGCACACTTGGTGCAGCTGCGAGGTGCAGCAAGAGCACGTCGTTCCTGCCTCTGATGCCACTCTCGCGGCTTGCAGCGCGTCACTCGCGCATGCTCTCCAGGAGCTATGGCGGGCGCGTGTGTGGGGCTGTAGCCTGTGTTTGGCCGGTTCTGACCCGTTTACTATCAGTATCATGTCCGGGCCACAAAAAATCGCACACGGGTAGCGGCTCAGGGGCCCAGTAAGTCGCGGAATCGCCAAATGTCACAACCTGCGCCACCCAGGGCTGGACCTAGTCCGCAGAGGACACAGTGGACAAACTGATAGTTTTCTCAAACTTCCAAAACTTGCTACTTGGGTCTTGGCACTTGGGAATTGGGACGTTGGGATCCACGTCCTGCGTCACGTTCACGAGCGAGCGGTTCGCGATCGCGTGCCGTGTATGGCTATGGGGTGCCGCACCAAAAGACAAAGAGGATCCTGCCGGCTGCCGTGGCCTCGCCCTAGATCGATCTAGGTGCGAGGCGGCGCGGCATCCTCGAAGTCGATCCCGAGAGCGTTGCCGATGCGGCGCAAGCGGAAGAGCTCCTTCTCGGCGCACAGCACTGTCGCGGTGCCCGAATTGCCGATACGGCCCGAGCGGCCGGCGGCGTGGAGGTAGTCCTCTGCGCTGCTCGGCAGGTCGAACAGGTAGACGTGGGAGCACTCTGGGATGTCGAGTCCGCGCGCGCCGAGCGGCGTCGAGAGGAGGAGGCGGCGCGAGCCTGCGGTGTGAAGACGCCAAGGTCGGGGCGGGGAGACGGCGCCGTGCCGTTGCATTCGGGGCATCGCGAGAGTGTGGACGGACCTCGAACACTAGACGGACACCGCATGGTGCATCGGAGTACAGCGGAGAGGACAGCCGAGTGCGCGTGTCCTCTCAATCTGTGGGGTGTGCTGCCGAGTGCGCGAGTCAGAGCACATCGATCTGTACTCAACTAGGCGCTACGAGCCGTGGGGAGATATGGGGAGATATGGGGAGATCGATCTGTACTCAACTAGGCGCTACGAGCCGTCGCGGAGGGACGCGACGGCGCGTGCGCGCTGGCGGAGCGTCGACTCGTCGGAGAGGATCTCTGGCGGCTCCGGCTGCAGCACGCCGCCGACCGCCTGCGATCTCGGGCACGCCGGGGGGATTGGCGGGTGCCTCCTCGGGTGCCAGGCGACGGCAGCACAGATGCCTCGGCGATCCGCTCGAGAGGGCGGCCCGCCTTCACAAACACGATGGCGGCGCGCAGAGACGGGTCGTCGCGCCTAGTCCCATACCTCCAGAGTCTCGAACCCAGTGTGGGTTCGGTCCCGTGGGTGGCGCGGTAGTGGTCGTCGCGCCTTGCAGCAATAGTACAGTGAGAGAGTACGGTGCGGAGCAGTGTGCAGTGTAGTGTGGTATAGAATGGTGTAGTCTTGTTGTGTAGTCTAGTACAGCACAGTGCGGGGACTTCACTACAGTGCAGTGATGTCGCTCCTCAGCAAGACGCGGAGAGCCGCGACTCGACGAGGCGTCTCGCAGACCGCCACCAGATGGCGCAGCTGTTCCGGCACCTGGGGGGAGGGGGGGGAAGGGGAAGGGGGAAGGGGGAAGGGGGAAGGGGGAAGGCGGAGGGGGGGGGGGGGAAAGTGAGGCTTAAGGGGTTAAGTTAGGGGTGAGGGGCAGGGTGAGGGTGAGGGGTGAGGGTGAGGGGTGAGGGTGAGGGGATGCCGCAGCCGCTCTCTCACCGGCTGCTCCGGCTGCGAGGTATGGGGAGATATGGGGAGATATGGGGAGATATGGGCACGCTCACCGGCTGCTCCGGCTGCGAGGTATGGGGAGATATGGGGAGATGTGGGGAGATATGGGCACGCTCACCGGCTGCTCCGGCTGCGAGGTATGGGGAGATATGGGGAGATGTGGGGAGATATGGGCACGCTCACCGGCTGCTCCGGCTGCGAGGTATGGGGAGATATGGGGAGATGTGGGGAGATATGGGCACGCTCACCGGCTGCTCCGGCTGCGAGGTATGGGGAGATATGGGGAGATATGGGCACTACGCTCACCGGCTGCTCCGGCTGCGAGTGGATGAGCATCGGCTCGGTGCCGCACCAGCGCTGCGCCACCGCCTGCTCGACAAGGAGGCTGCGACTACACCAACAGCAGCAGCAGCAGCGGCGGCAGCAGCAACGAGAACAGTCACACTATGAAGAGTGAGGTCTCGGCCCGCCTGCTTGACAAAGTGGTTCCGCTGCGGCAGCGACGCGGAGACGAAGACGGTCTGCCGAGGCTCGGGCCCACAGCGCGCCGCGAGCACGCGCTCGAGCGCTGCGCGCGTCTCCGGCGCACTCAGCGCCGCGTCGACTTCGTCCACCACCAGCGTGCGCAGCGAGCCTGCGCCGGGAGAGATGTGGGGAGATGTGGGGAGAGGTTGGGAGATGCGGGGAGATGTGGGGAGATGTGGGGAGATGTGGGGAGATGCGGGGAGAGATGAGGACCATCGAGCCTTCCTCGGAGAGGACATCAGAGGTGCGGATTGGACCAATCCGCATGACGTCCCACACCCTCCCCCGCCCGCCCGCCCGCCCGCCTTTCTCATTTGCCATGGTGCGCTCCCCCGAGACTTCCCCTCGTCGCGGGGGGTAGCACGGACGAGAAGGGGAGCCGGCGAAATCGGAGCATCGCGTTGACGACACACGCGGGCTGCGGAACACAGCTGGAGAACACGGGGAGACAGCGGGATGGAGTGCAATGGAGTGGAATACGTGTCCGCCCGAGTGCGAGTCTCTCGGGACACGGGTCGCTCCTCCGCAGCTAGGGGCTGCGAGCCGAGCTGCAGCCGCCCGCAGGAGAGGAGGGCGTCCACCTGCAGCACGTTGCCGACGATCACCTGCGGCGGTGGAATTCAAGCTGAAGCTGGACGGGATTGGACTCTGCTTGAAGTGGGCCGACCACCTGCGGCGGCTGCGCCCGGATCCACACGCGCTGCCGCCGCGCCGCCGACCCGTCGAGCAGGGCCATCACCAGCGGCCGGTCCGGGCTGCCTGCCGCCAGCCTCCGTGCGACCCGCGCCACCTGCAGGAGAGCTCCGCCAAGGTTCGGAGAGCGCTCCGAAGGTTGGAGGAGGTTGGAGAGGGCGAATCGCGACCTGGGCGGCTAGCTCGCGCGAGGGGGCGAGCACGAGCGCCTGCACCGATGCGCTCGGCCGCAGAGAGGCGAGCAGCGGCAGCATGTACGCGAGCGTCTTGCCTGAGCCCGTCTGAGCGAGCACGACGGCGTCGCGCCGATCGATGAGCGGGCCGATGGCGGTAGCCTGCACGGGGGTGGCATGCGTGTAGCCGAGCGCCTCGGTCCGATCCACGAGCCATTCGGGCAGCGGCAGCTCGCTGAACGAGGGGCCAGAGGCAGCAGCGGCGGCGGGTGAGACAGATGGTCTGGCACACGTGCTGGCGATCGGGCGCCGCGGAGACTGCAGGCCGCCGACAGAGGGCTGGAGGGCGAGGAGGCTGAGCACGATGCGTGCCATGTCCGTGCGGGAGCGTGGGTATTGCAGGCGGTTTGCCCCCGGGCGTCCTCGTTTTTCCGAGCGCGGTGGAGGAGCAAAGAAGAAAATCGCGGCGCGAAGGATCATCCGGCCCGCTGGGTGCGCTCCTCAGCTCCCCGGCCCTGGATGTGAGGTTACCGACTGCACTCCAAGTGCTCCAAGTGCTTCAGGCTTTACATCTTCGCCACCTTGTCTGTGTTATTTGTGTGGACTTGTCACTTGAGCCTCTATGATTAGTAGACCCCAGGACCCCCCGTGCGGGGGCCTTCGGTCAGCACCCCAAAACTGCCCCCCGGCGGCATACAGCACTGCCAGCCAGCCTCTTCCTCCTCCTCAAGGGCTGTACTCCTATGGCCATATTTGGCACACGGCACCGCGTCTCGTCAACTCAAGCCGCGGAGAACAGGCGGTGCTGTGCGCGAAAACGCGCGCGATCTCGTACTTTTTAAGGCTGGATCCGGCCATTCCAAGGGTATACCTTTGAGAATCCCCAGCGTCCCTCCCTCCTAGTGCTAGTCACAACGATCTCAAACTCAATATCTCGACTCTCGAACACGATCACGAAGATCGAAGTGCTGCGATCGGAGTTCGCCACAATTTCTTTTTTCCTTTCTTTTTTTCAGTCTTGGAGAACCCTGATCCCTGTGGGAGGCTCGAGAGGAATTCGTGTCCGTTTCTTCTGATTCTCACTCTCCTTTTCCGGTCTGCCTACTCGATCTGATTCTGCCCGTCGTCCCCTTTCCACGCCGCTCACTCAGCCTCCGGGCAGGATTCCTCACCCAGCTTCCGTTCCTGCCTAATCGATCTGATTCTGTCCGTCCGATTCTCGCCTTATCAGATTCTGTCGCGGTTGCGGTTTCTGCCTCCGGATGCCGGAAAGGGAATTTTCCGCTCTGCCCGCCGATTTCTTGGCAACCCGCCGGACTCTCGTTTCCTGATTCCTGTTTTTGCCCGTCGAGGGGCGGTAGCCCGGCGGGCCGGCCATCTGGGCATGCTCACTCAACCAATCACGCTCATGTGTACGCGCCGTATCCTCCGCGCCACCCACTTTGCCATCGAAGTGCGCTCCGCGCTCCGCACAGTACAGTCACTTTTGAACGGCGGCTCATCACACGTGCGTCAGAGATCTCATGCAGCTCATGGGCGGTGGCATGGTGGAGCCAGAGCAGTGCGCGGCCGATCTTAATTCTGGGCAGGCGGTCTCCCATTCCCGCGGGCGCTTGGTGCCGGGGTTTGAACGGCATGCCGGCGTCAGATGCAGCTTGGCGCCGGCCTGCGGCGACCCCGCAAGCGGTCGTTGGTGCTGCTCAGCGATGCTCACAGCGGCACGTCTGCTCTTTTGCTGTGAAGCCCGCGGGCTCGCTGTGAATGCACCCGCCAGCTAGGCAGCTCCGCGGCGGTGTGGGTGTAGAACGGGTAGGCTGCTGTCTCGTGTCTCGGTGCTCGTACTAAGTCAATGGGAGGAGTGCTTCAATTTCTTCTTCTTATACGCCCAGCTCAAAAGCACACACGCATCACGACGCCTAGACAGGCGAGACGCGGCGACAGCCGCGGCGAGCTCGTTTTAGAAGCGAGCCGCTCGCGGCGAACAGTTTTAGAAAAAGGGAAAAGGGGGAGGGTTAGTTTGAACCCGAGCCGAGCTTCGCTCGGCTCCCCCCCGCGCGGGAGCGCCCCCCCCCCTCTCCTCGGGGGGGCGGGCAGAGCCCGCACCACACACTGCGCCTTTGCGGACGCCGGACCGAGGCTTTGAAGCGCTGAGTGCGCTGACGTGAGGCTGGAGCGCCGAGAGACCCGCGCCTGAGCATGCTGCCGCGGGCGAAGTTTGAGTGAGCTGTGTGAAGCCCCGCGCACACGCAATATCGGCTCAGGAGTTCGGAGAGTCAGGCCAACATAGGATCCCGCCGAAATGCGTAACTCCGAGGAATCAGGAATCAGGAATCAGGAATCAGGAATCAGAATCCCGGTGAAAATGTTGGAATCAGGAATCAGGAATCAGGAATCAGGAATCAGAATCCCGGTCAAAATGTGGGCGATCCGACAAATCAGGAATCAGGAATCAGGAATCAAATGGAGCATCAAGAATAGGAAGAGAGACAGGAGAATCGGGAGGGGGAGCAGAATCAGGAATTGGCTCTGGCTGCCCTAGAGAATCGGAAAGGAAGCGGAGGAAACGAGAATGGAGAATCAGGAAGCTGAAAGCGGGGCCAAGATGGGAGAGTCTGGGGAGAGAATCAGAATATCTGAGCAGAAGAGGAGCCTAGGATGGGGAATCTACGTAGTGAGAGGTAGAATAGCAAGAATCCTTGTGTAGTAGAGCAGAATAGGAAAGGCAGAATCCTTAGGGGCGCGGACAGACTTTTCTCCAATAAACTCCTTTTTTTGGGCCCTGTGGGCACCCTAGCGCAGCGCTCTCGGAGAGGCGCTTTGTACTCGGGTATTTGGATGGCAGCTTGGTAGCGGGGGGGGCCGCCGGAGGCTGGTTACTGTAGATACTCTCGCATGGGACACACAAGAAAGAGGCTGTACCTGTTGGCTGAACCCTGTGCTGCTCGGATGCTCGGTCGCCGGGTGGTCGGGTGCAATCGGACTGCCAAAGCCCTCTGCCACTCTCTGCTCTGAATGAAGTTTGAAGCTGCGTCGGCGACAGCGGCGACTCCGCCCCGTCGCCAACTACCGGGCGTCGCTACACATGCCTCCCTCCGCCCTCCCACCCGCCGGCCGCCTCGCCGCCGCGCATGAAGCTTCATCCGATTATCCGTTGTGGCCGTCGCCTCGCAACGGTGGCGGCGGTCGCCGTCACGCGACCAGCGGGGGCGGCTCCATCTCGGGGATGCCGCCCGGCCGAAAGCGCGCGGCGTTGAAGGCGTCGAAGAGCGGGCGCGTGAGGCTCCAGCCCGCCAGCTGCTCGTCGCTCACGCTCGCGCCGTCCACCAGCGTCGTTGCATCGTCCGACGGCGCGGCGACGGCCGGCGCCGCGGGCGCGGGCGCCACCGACGTGGGCGTCGTCGCGGCGCCGCCGGGCGGGCCCCGCGAGGGGGGGCCGCCGCCGCCACCACCGCGCACGGGGGTCGCCCCCCACCCGCCCCCGCCCATGCCGCCGCCGCCGCCGCCGCCGCCCCAGCCGGTGCCGGTGGGCGCGCGTTGCTGCCGCTGCGCAAAGCTAAAGCTGCCCGCCGGGGCTGCCCCGCCGCCGCCGCCGCCGCCAAAGCCGCCGCCGCCAAAGCTGCTGCCGCCACCGCCAAACCCCGCGCCCGGCGGCGCGCGTGCCTGCCCGCCGCCGGCCGGCGGCCCATGCGAGAAGCGGCACTGGTCGCCGTAGCGGCAGCGGCCCGTCGCCGCGAACGTCCGGCACGGCACTGACGAGGTTGCGGCACCGCCGCCGAAGCTGCCGCCGCCGCTGCCGCCGCCGCCGCCGCCGCCGCCCTTGCCCGTGGCGTGCGAGAAGCGGCACTGGTCGCCGTAGCGGCAGCGGCCCGTCGCCGCAAACGTCCGGCACGGCACCTCGTTCCGACCGGTTGGCTCGGCGGCCATGTCAGTCGCGAGGGCGTCGAACCGGTTTCCGCCGCCGCGCTGGCCGCCTCCAAAGGCACTCTGCGAGGACCGCCCGCCGCCTCCCCCGCCAAATGCGCTGCTCCCGCCTCGGAAGCCGCTGCTGTTGCCGCCGCCACTCCCGAAGCCACCACCGCCGCCAAAGGCGCTCGAGCCGCCGCCACCACCAAAGGCACCGCCCGAGCTGCCGCCGCCCCCAAACGCACTTGCGCTGCCGCTAAAGGCGCTCGAACCGCCGCCGCCGCCGCGAGAGCCGCCCCTTGAGCCGCCAGTCGAGCGGGCTGCCTGGCCGAATGCGGACATATGCACGCACTTTTTTGTATGTCGAGAGCTTGAGTGCGGGCGCACGGCCCCGGCGGGTCAGTCGTGGGCTCATTCAGGGTTTGGACTTTCCTGCGGGGTATGGTATGGTACTCTCGCGCAACCCACCTCGAGACCATACCCCCCGCCTGCTGACAGACCCAGCCTCCCGGAGACCGGGGATGGGCGGTCAGGACCATACCCCCCCACCCTTTGGGCCGCGAGAGTACCATACCATACCCCGGAAAAAGTTGGAACCCAGGTCTCTTTTTTCGAAAAGAAATCCCGCGTGGCGAGGTTTGCGTCTCCGGATGGTCCCGCGCCGGCACCGGCCCCGGTTGGCCAGAGCCCCGTCATACCTCTCACCGCTCTCCGCACCACTCTCGAGCGCTCATGCGTGTGTGTCAGCAGGAGCAAAGCTCCCCACACACGCGACAGCATAAACGGCGATGGCACTGCGAGTCCCACAAAACGGCACTGCGAGTCCACGCCGGCGGCAACGCTTGTCCGTCGCCGCGCGTCTCACCGCGCGTTGGCGCGCGCCTCCGCCTCCTCTTGCTCTTGGAAGATGGCGGAGGACATGCTGCCCGCCGACTCGGTGGGCAGCTTCTTTGCGACCGAAGCCTGGGCCGGCCCCCGCGCCTGCCCGCGCCGCGAGGCCTCAGAGGGGGCAGAGGGGGGGGGACGGGACGGGACGGGAGGAGGGGGAGGGACGGGACGGAGGGGGGGAGGTTCGCACCGCAACCTCTGCACGGTCCCTTGCCATGGCCGCCTTCATCGCCTCGCGGTCCGCCTGGGAGAGGCCGGCCCACGCAGGGTGAGACCCGACGCCGCGCGCGCCCCACCCGCCTCGCGTCCGCTCGCCGCTCCGCCTTTTGCTTCGCGACGCGCTCCGCTGCCTCGCGCTTCCGCGCCTCGAGCTCGGCGCGGCGCCGCTCCTCCTGTGCCTGGGCGACCGCCAGAGTGAGCGCCGCCACCGCCGCCGCCTGCGCCGCCGCCTGCGCCGCCGGGTCGTCGCTCGGTGGCAGCTCGAGGAACTCGCGCTCCACGATGCGCCTGGAGCGGGAGCGCGGGCAAGCCCTGAGGGTGCGGGCTGTGGGCGCGGCACCAAGTGTGTGCTCGGCGCATCGCGCGAGTCGCGCGAGCCCGGGGGCTAGAAGGCAGGGGCCACGACGGCAAGGCGGCCTGAAGGACCGCCGAGGGACGCGTGCCGTCTGGGTAGGGCGGTCGTGTCAGGGCGCGACGCGTCTCTGCTTCCGCATCTAGAGCACGGCGCGCCAGCCATGCGCGACCAGGAACTGCCGCGCCCCTACAGCGGGCGCTCCACACGCGACTGGGGCGCTGCGCAGACCCTCTCGGCTGCCTCTCGGCTGCCTCTCGCCCGCCTCTCGGCTGCCTCTCG